ATCAAGATTTAGATCACTCTTAAAAATAGAATCACTATCATAGTTAGTACTGGCAGGATTTAGATTTTATTAAAGTGATTAATTAGCAATTCACATGTTGGGAGTCGATATAAATTAAGGAAATATCTTATTTTATAAAACTTTTATTATTCCTGGAGATTTAAATACATTTTCTCCATATTTATTCAAATACGATGAAAAGTATGAACGATATTATGGATGTCTGCAGTCTTAAAAAACAAAATATCTTACAGGGTATTTTGTTTATTAGAATTCTACTCTATAAAATGCAGAGAGATATGGGGGTAGATACTTTAGATAAGCCTTGACTATCGAATGCTAATGCCTTGAAGTTGTAACTTATTTTTATGTTAATTTAAATCCTATAGGAAATTTAGAGTGAGATATTATATGTTTACTTTAGAGAATCAACTCTAGAAAATAATCTAGAAAATTAGATAAGCTATTAAATCATTGAAGTTGAGGCCAAAGATTTTTACGATTAATCATAAACAGGATCTAAAAATTTTAAATTTTATCAGACTGTAATTATTTCAAATTAATAAAACTAAAATAGACCAATACAAATGTGCAAATTGATTTACTTTTGAATAGAATAATTAGATAGGATTAATAAAATCATATTATTGCAGGTCAGGCATATTTATCTTCTATTTCATACGGAATTCTTTATATGAGTAGTCCAAAGATAGGTTGTTACGGTTTTCATGACTTAACTTCAATTCCAAACTTAAATTCAATTGGGAAAATGATGGACAATTTTATTATAAGAATGGAAAATATTTAAATTGATGCTACCTGTGACAAGAGTTCAGAATATGTAGCTTACAATTTCTCAATAAATGCATAAGATATTAGATTTCTTCAAAAATTTAACAGTTTTGGACATTCATGCAACAATGTAGGAGGAAGTCCTGAAATTTAATTCAATATGGGTGACTCAGCTATCCATAATGAAACTTTATGCTTCATAGGTTTGCCTTGCTATGTAAATTTTGGCAACTTCAGCATGCCTTAATGTTCAGATGCTAACTCATTTAAAATAGAAATTAGAGATAGTGTTTAGGACTTGGATTAGTTTACTGGAAATTTTCAGCATAGCTTTAAAAATATAACCTTTACCTATTCTTTAAGAGATAATATTAAAGGTGACTCGAGGAAGATTTTCATCGGTGATCATTATCTTACGGTAATAGGCTCGCTATAATTTCCAAATAAATTCATATATACTACAAGTTAAGTAATTGTGAAAATAACTGTAGCATATTGCTTCAATCACTTACACTTCACTAATTCCCCGATTCTCGTTGATATGAAGTATAAATTAGGTGAAGGTCCTATTACATAGAGTTTCAGACCTCATTCTTTTGAGCCAAATAGTTGTAGATACTAATATGTTTTACAAAGCAGAGATGATTAAATAATTCCAAAGTGTATCAGTCTTAACTAGGTGAAATAAACAATATCATTAAATTGTTCTGAAAATGGGTTTCTTGGGAAGTTTTATCAACTAAGAGTTAAAGCTTAATTTAGCGACTAAAATTAAAGCTTGGCAGCAAACCCAGTAATGGATTTTAATGTCTAAATTATATCTGATTCATTCAAGGAAGTCCAAGCTTCAACAATTATGCAATATTCACCTTTTACAGACTAAATAATGATAGAGGGGCAAGTACTAACTTTGAACTTGCCAGAAATAATTGTAATGGATAGTAATATAAGAATTCAAGTTAATTTGGGATGAGCTGAGATATTTACTAAATAAACTTAAGTGTCATTAGAATTTACTCCCTAAATAGGATTTTCTGGAATTTATGATATTAAAATGAGATTAGAATATCTCTACTTAAATATACAAAAATAATACAAATTTACACTGACTGTTCAAAAAATATAGCCATTAAACATCACTGAAATAAATAGGATAATTGAGATCAAGTAAAAGGTCAATGGATATTTAAAGGCTAGAGTTAAAACAATAACGAATATGGGATTAGTTCATATTAAATTTAGTCATAATATGTTGATTTACTAAAATTTTCAAAGTTATCTTAATGAGTCTTTAGAGGTAAGGATAGTTACGAAGTCTAATGAGATCAAGGTGAGATATTATGTTAAGTACTTTTAAGATTAAATTCTGAAGCTTTAAATATTATTCGAACAAGACCAAAATCTATTCTCTTAATAAGATGTAATTTAAGTATTTAAAGCTTATAGGGATTAGATTATTTAAAAATCACATTTGTGAAAGACTATGATTTTGTTTCTAATAATAAATTGTTGATTATTCCTGATAAATATGAATTATTAGGACTTCTTCCACCTTAAGTTTCTTTGGGTAACACTAATTTTTAGATTTATAATTTAGAGTTTAATGATCTAAACAATGTAGTATAAGCTATAATTTAGTACACAATGGCTACAGTTTTTGGGACCAATATTCTGCTTAACCTTTTCTTGTAGTTTTTATCTTTCATTTTACTTTTAAGGAGTCAATCAATGCAGTTTATGTGGGGAATGATAAATAGTTTTTAATTGATAACACATTTGCCACTGATTTCAATATAAATTCCTGCGAACTCCTTATATTTCTTTGGATTTATAAATGATATTGCCAGCTTTAATCTTATACCCACTGGTAATATAAATTTGCAATTATTTTATAGATAACTTGAGCGATATGATTTTTGAATTTGATGATGATGAGGATTTTTAAGCTTATAATCCCTTTTTTTAACTAATGAACTATGAATCTAAGAATTTGATTTTAAACCTAGGATTGATATTATACGTTTTTGTTTTCTTTGTTAATTCATTTCTCCTTGCTTTAATTTTAACTTAATTCACCTTTTCTTGTTAATGGTAATTTTACATGAAATTCTAAAGAGTTCTAATTTATAGGTTGCAAAAATGTGCTCTAAAATATAGAAAGTATTTTATATTTAATGGCATTTGGAGAATATTATATGAATCATCAATTGAAATTTCTATTTGTGCCATTGTCAATTGCTATCATGTAATAATCCTTAATTTTATGAAAATTAGTTGAAATTTGGAATGTTAGGCTAAGTTGCAGGATCAAACTTGGCTTTTATCTTCATAATCTTAATGATTGGATTACCCTTTTTTGCAATATATATTATTAATCAAAATAACGCAAATCTGATGACTAAAAAATTTTAAGCCAAGTATGGAGGGATGATTGAAAAATTGAAGACTGATAAAGATAGCTTAGAGATATATTATCATGGAATATCATTTATGAGAAGATTTATTTATTCACTTATATTAGTTATTCTAGAGAGTGAGTAACTATTCTAAATCTTGCTGCTAATTAAGTTAGAATTGATCATGATAGTTATAACAATATATCTATAGCCGTTTTAAAGTTCATTAAGAAACTAAATTGAAGTGATAAATGAGATTTTTATTCTAGTTATTTTGTACAGTTTCATCCCATTTGTGAATCATTATGATATTGATTATTAAATTAAGGTTTATATTGGCTTCATATCAATAAATCTAACTCTAGCATATCTGCTTTTGAATTTCAGCATCATAATTAGATAAAGCTTTTTGAAAATACTTGAACGAGGAGGAAGATACAAAAGAAGATAATTAAAAGAAAAAGAAAACTCCTTAAATCTACATTATTTTCAATAGTCAAACTCTTAACCTTCTTAAAAAAGGATAAGATCTATCAGAAAAATTAAAAAATCTAATTATGGAAATGCTTTTGATTTCAAAGGGCAATCATTTAATAGCAAATAACTTGAGATTTAAGTTTTAAGAAGTACTAAAAATTCAAATATTGAATAACTATGAGGCTTTTGAATACCATAATAATTGCTTTGATTTTCTATAATCCAAATTTTGAGTAAATCTTGTTCTTAAAATAGACATAATACACTAAATATTGGTAGAATATAATTTCTATATTATTATTTATCTAAATATTAATATCTATCTATTTTTCAATAATTTTAATCAATGGGGTTTTGGGGTTTTGGGGTTTTGGGG